AAGCCCTTCTAACCGATTTCCTAAGGTCGGTCCCATACGGCGCCGCAGTTTACAGACAAATCCGTCAACCCAAATCTCCAACACTGCGCTATCGTAGGCGCCCTAGTGATTAGAATAGGGTTTTGGGGGTTCCTTATTTGCATTATTAGGTTTTAGGGTTTAGGGTTTAGGGTTTAGGATAGTTACGGTATACTATACCCAAAACTGTAGCGGATGGCTCAAAGCCTTAGGACACTGAAGCAACATGTAAAGGCCAGTGACCAAGGACGTTTTAGAGCAGAAGCCTTAGCAGGCAATTTGCCATTCTCGGCAGAAGCCGGCAAACAGCAGCTGCAAAGGTCCGTGTGAAGACAGCTAACCTGCGGCCTTCATGCTCGGTGCATCGACTGCATAAACCCTTGCCTCTGAAGAACGACCGCTGAGAAGGAAGCTTTCAAGCGTCTTTATCTAATTATTAAGGACCCTCAATAACATCAGTTAAGGGACCGTGGATCGAAAGCAAATGGACATGTATTCAATGAATCACACTTCGCTCTTCCAGCTGATCTGCCTGAGGTGGGGGCCGGGATTTCGAACGGGTCAGGCCGGTATCCCAGAAGCCCCTCTTAGTGCTCGCAGGGCTTTACGACGCGCGCTATTTGGGTTTATAGGGTTCTTCTTTTGGGGGATTTCGAGGTATGGAGAGGATATGGGAGGGCCTGATACGGTTTTGGGGTGTTTTATAAGCTCACAGACCCTAAACCCTAAACCCTAAACCCTAAACCCTAAATCCTAAACCCAGAGCCCTAAACCTCCGGACTCCTCCCTCCACAGTGGACTCCGAACGCTGAGACCCTAAACCCTAAAGCTTACATTAGGGTTTAGGGTTTAGGGTTTAGGGCTTAGGGTTTAGGGTTTAGGGTTTAGGGTTTAGGGTTTAGGGTTTCTGAAACGGATGCAGTCGCCCTGAGACTTAGTTGCGATGAAGCAACGACTTAAATTTCGATGCTGCAGGGTTACGGCAGTTTGAGTGTAGTTAGCGACATCATTCAGGCTCCCACCCCTACCCTTCGAACAAGTCGCATACATCACCCCTGAACCGGACATCCAAACGATGCCCCTGACCCTCCCCTAAGGAATGCTCAGTGATAAGCTCGCCAAGACGAGAACCTAGATATACTCTTGCCCTAAACCCATGTTAGCCACCACCTACCTGGGGGTGGACCAGTGACGATGTTACTGGGAAAACCGTGCTTCCAAGCAAAATCGAAATGTGATGAAAATTGTGATGGCGTAAACTCAAAGCCCCGTTATAAAATTATCAGCAGCTGAGGTGGGAATCCTCCCCGCCGTTGCCTAACAAAGGGATAGCGGAAACCCCCCCCCGCCTTCGGCAGTTTCGGAAAGCAGAGACCGCAACATGGACCCTCGACTCTAAGTAACTGGATCCTTCATGTATGCACCACGAGATAAGGCTCCCCTAAATAAAGCCCCATGCACGAAACCTGATTTGCATCTAAGGTTGAACCCATGGGCCCCTAGTATGGGCCCTTAACCCTGGGAGCCTTATATACCTACTATATACCCTGTATGTACCCTTAAGGGAGCCTAGAAAAGCCTAAGGGCCCATATTAGGGGCCCATACTTCTAACCTTGATTTGCATGAGGGTCGACATGGTCGAAGTGATCAAGCGCGCCTTCCCCGATGACGACGCGCTCGGACACTCAGGTAACCAGAGACTCCAATACCCCTTAATTGAGGAATATACCTTAAATCTTATTGGGGCTCCTACTATAGTTTAAGGCATATTCCTCAATTACGGGGTGTTGGAGTCTCTGGGTAATGTGAGGCAGATCAGGGGTTTCATACAGGGCCAGGATCTGAGTTGAAGTCGGCGCATGCATAGGATGACGCCTAAACCCCTAAACCCTGAAACCCCCAAACCCTTAAACCCTGAAACCCCTAAACCCCTAATCCCTTTAAACCCCTAAACCCTTAAAACCCATTGGCCTAAGGGTTTGTGTACCAATGCAGTACACTTAGGCCTCAGAGCTGCTGTATCGGAACCCCTTCATGGCCTTTTAGGGTTTAGGGTTTAGGGCTGGTATATACTTGTATACTACATAGGTACATGGCCCCTTAGCCTTGAACTCTTGAAAAAATAACACTCATGCAAGCTCTCGGTCGGCGTAGACAGTATCCCGACTACCCTCACCTCACATAGCCCTCCTGTCAGCGGAGTCGTCCTGGAAAGTTACGGAACATGATATCCGATTGCATGAGAATCATATAAACCCTAAACCCTAAACCCTAAACCCTAAACCCTAAACCCTAAACCCTAAACCGTTCCGCGATAGCGAGCCCTGAAACTCTGAGCCTGAGTGAGGGTCCTAAGGAAAAGCGCCTACATGCACATC